CAGTCGATCATCGAGGAAATCGTGCTCCTCTTCGAGTCCGCCCGGAAAACGTCGAAGCGATACGAGCTCGTTGCAGACCAGCAGGACCTGGTAGTGTTTGAGGACAGGGACATGAAGCCAGCCGGGCGAGCGCTGCACAGGCGGCTGAAAGACCTCGCTTGTCGGAGACAGAAAGATACGGGCCTGGTGAAGAAGACAGCATGGGCACTCTACGACGGGAAGAGCCTGGAGAAAATCGTCGACCAAATCGCCGGCTTTGTTGACGAGCTGGAGAAAGCCTTCCCGGTCGAGGCCGTTTGTCACAAGCTGGCCGGGATCGAGATCGAAGAGGTGGAGGACGAAGCAAGTTTGACAATGCTCAAGGATGCCGCGGAAGGGATCGACGAGGATCTGTCAGGTGCGGCTGCACAGAAAGATCGACGCAATCGCGGGAAGGAACTTCGCCAAGGATGTCAGGATGGGGGGCCATGCAAGGATTGTGACGGGAACCAATATAATACAGGGAAAAGCCGGCTGTAAGATGGTTGATTTGTCTAAAATCTACAGTTGAAGAAGAAGGTAATGTTACAGGCACGGCAAGGGCGTGGGAGATATGGTGGGCGTGGGGTGGGGCTTGCGGCCCTGCCCCGCCAGGAACTTCACCATCCCGTGGCGCGTGGCGCGTACTGACGGCACCTGGTCACGTGATCTTAATCCACGTGACTGCCGTCACAAGGATCCACGTCGGCAATGTATTCACCGAGGCAGATCGCCAATTTGGGTTTTACAAGGGTGATAGCGGGCTAAGTATAGGAACGTGACCGCGAGATGGCGGCGTCGGCGCAACCTGAGGCAGTAATCGTGGTGGTCGACCGCCCAATCTCGCCGAAACGACCGAGTCGCGCCCCAAAACCGAGCTTGAAAGCCCGCGAAACGATGCAATCTCTTGAGGATGCGGCCACCACGTCAAAAAGAACCACAAATACCGTTACGCGGAGTACCGCATCGAAAGGAACACGGGCATTGGGAAGCGGGAGCGGAACAACGGCCAGGCTGAACGGGGAAAACAGCGCTCCAGACCCTCCTAGAAGCAATTAATGAACAGCAAAACCAGACGCGCGAGATATCTACCGAGCAACGAAATATGATCTGCGAGCAACGAAACATGATCTGCGAGCAACGAAACATGATCTGCGAACTACGCGACGTGGTCAGCAAGCAGCAATACACGATCCAACAGCTCTCTGAGGAGCTGAGACAAGCCCGCGAAGTGAATGACGCCCTTGCACGCAACGCAGCTTTTCCTCATACAACTCAGACGAGTCCAAGGGCATCATGGGTCGAGTGGGATTGTGACGCTTGGGTATAAGATCTAACGGCGCATCGGCTGGTACTCTGCTCTGGCTCGATGCCAAGCGACCTGATAGACTTAACTGGAAATGGTTGAGCACGTGAATGCCATTGCTTCTCGTGGGTATGATATGGGGCAAGAGAGCAGCCGGTCGACCTTATGCTGAGCTAGATGAAGCAATATATCGATAAGATTCACCGAAGGATTCCAGTGGAGGCAACAGGGTAGTGCAACACTATGTCGGAAAAGCAGGCCTACCACATAACAGTCTATTAACATCATCTCTGCACGCCCCCGAATCCTAGCAAAGAGTCATCTGTGATACTACGACCAGCGAGGCCCTGGTGGCGTCGCGAGCAGAAATCCGTTCTCATCTCCAAACCATGGGCAGAAGGAACCTCCGCCTAAGAACGCGACGTCCCCAAAATTGGACGCTACCAAGTATTCACATCACGAGGCCATGGAACCCACTGGAGGAGAGCGAACGCCGCGGCATACCACGACAACCGACGCAGACTCAGTGATAGTGCCGGATTCGAGTGGGTTCTCTTCCTTCTAAACTTATGGAATCCACTGACCGCCCACTAAGACAGCGATGTTACAGAACATGGCCCATGCCGACGAGCCAAAGTGGTAGCCCTGCAAAACATGGCGACCGACGTCGCGAGCCGACTCTGCATCTCGGCAACCGGTGTCAGCAATCGAGAGTTTGTCTCCAAATGCCACGTCACGCCCCTCGCGACGGCTTCATCGCAACAGCCAATTGGAATTAGCCGTAGCGCAGCAACCTGAGAGCTGGCTAATGCAGATTTCTCCAATTGTATCAACCTGCGCCGAGTGCTCGCAGC